CTGAGTGTGTAAGGTGAGCTGTGGTATTATCACAGCCACTGTGCGTGGTCCCTGCCATAGGGAGGGAAGACATGTGCAGGCTCCACATCCACAGACAGAATTATCCTGTTGAGGGCCAGGCTGGTTGGCTTTTTTGCATAGGACTAGGTGAAGGAGTGGGTTGAGGTGGAGGAGGAAGCCTGTTATGTTGACTAAGGGCATCGAGGAAAGTAAACAGCAAGATTATTAATGTAAAGAGTGTGGTAACTGTGAGCCTCTGGAGAATGGTGTATTTTGGGGGGTGGAGTGTTAGAGCACCTGCGAGGAAGAGGAGAAGCAGAGAGCCGGGTATAGGCCCAAACCAGGTAGGGTAGCAAGGCTTTAGTGTCTGTGCTGCGTTACTCTGAGCTGGGTGGGAGCTATTGGACGTGAGGTCCACAGAGGCCCTTTACAGTGTTTGGGACCGAGATCACCGGGCAGCAGACGACATCTCTTCCTCTGGGTGATGTGAAACCAGCATGGGAGTCCCTAGTCCCAAGGTTCACCAGATGAGGTCCGTTTTTCTTGGTTGAAGAGTTGAAGTTGAACCTGTGGGCTTAGGAATTTTGACATAGATTAAGTCTCCTGGAGACAGAGGAGGATCTGGTGTGTGTCCCTCAGAGGTTTGAGGAGGCAAAAGTCTGTGTATTGTTGAAGAAGGTGTCAGAGAAATGAGAGAACCAATCTGGTTGGCTAAGGGAGGATGGTTAGAAGGTGAAGGTGTCATGGTTTATGTCTGTGGCCCCCAGGCCTCATGATTTTGCATTGTGCATTTGTGATGGTTCATTGTCTAGTGCTTGGATTGATGGTGTCAGTGCTGCACCCATATAGAGGTAGAGCCAGTATATGATGTAATGGCAGGAAGAACGTGTGTCTGGCTCTCTTGCTGGTTTCGGCCTTGATGTTTGCAGCCACCATAAACTACGGCCCAGCCATGCCAGCCTACCCTGGAGCCAACTGAGTATGGACTGAAACCTCCAAAAACTGTAAGAAATAAACCTTTCCTTTCCCAGCTTTGGGCTTCAGGTAGTTTGTCTCAGCGATGAGTAAAAAGTAACTAAGACAGAAGGCAAGTTTACTAAGACAAAGTACAGTCCACTGTACATAAGCTCAAAGGGGTTCACTGAGGAGGTGACCTGGGAAGGAGTAGAGAGAGGAGAATCATGTGTGTGTGGGAAGGAGGTATGAGTTCACTGGGGGACTTCTGAGCAGTCGTGCAGAGGACGTACCTCTGTATCTGTTGCAGGAGGGGGCAATAGGGTGGCTGGACTGAGGGTGTTGCTGGGTGAGACTGTGACAGTGGGGTCTTGTATTAGAGGTAGATGTGCTTGTTGTAGCTGTGACAGGATCATTAGAGCTGGTAGTGTCCTGTGAGAAATCAGATTGACTAGCTGGTGTGGTGAGTAGAATGTGATTGTCTGTCCTAAAGTGAACTTCTTGGCTTCTTGTGTCAGGAGGGCTGTCACTGCTATCCCCTGAAGGTAGGGAGGCCGTCCTCTAACTGTAGTATCTGGCTGTTTCTGTATCTGGAGGTCAGCTACGGCCTGGAATGAAGACCCTTCACTCTGTCTCAGTACTCCCACTGCACTGTCCTTACTTGCTGTAGTGTACAGAATACAGGGTACAGGAGGGTTAGGAAGGTGAGTGCAGGGGCTCTAAGCAGGGCCTCCTTAAGCTTCATGAAGGGAGTGTCAATTGGCGTAGTTGGGTCCAGGGGTTCTGAAAGAGGCCCTTAGAGGCTTGGTATAGTGGCTGAGCTAAGGAAGCAAAGTTGGGGCTCCAGAGGTGAAAACAGTTTGCCAGGTCTAAGAAGGATAATATTCGTTGTTTTGTGATTGGTGTCTGTAAGTCACAAAGGAGTCTATGGTCAGAGGTTATGGACCATGTGTGGCTATAAGCAGGATGCCAAAATATTTGACCTTTGGTGAGGTGATTTGAGCTTTGGACGGGAGACCTTGTGTCTTCTACTACAGAGAGAGTTGAGTGAGGCAGCTGTGGGTTGTGTTGTTGTGGCACAGGAGGGGGCAGAGTAGAAGTCTTCTATGTACTGAATGAGTGTGCTAGGTTGCAGATTTATAGCTGTGAGATCATTGGCTAAGGCTTGGCTAAAAAAGAGAGGGCTGTCTCTGAATTCCTGGGGCAGCACTGTCTGTGTTAGTTGAGTGACTGAAGAGTATCCGAATCTGTCCATGTAAATGTGGAAAGGTCTGGCATTGTGGATGTAAGGGAACAGTGAAATGTGTATGTTTAAGTCTGTTACAGGAAAGTAAGAAGTCTGTGGAGGAATCTGAGACAGTGTAGTGTGAGGGTTTTATACCCCCAGGTGAACTGGGTTATTATACTGATGATAGCTCCGGGACCTTGGATTAGGTGATAGGAGCTGTTGGGTTTGAGGACAGGGAGAATGGGAGTGTCATAAGGCCAGTGAGTGGCATTTAGAAACCCAAGTTAACAAGCAGCAGATAATAGTTTGAGCCCTTCTTGATGTTTGGGGGCCACTGGTATTGGGGAACAGAAGGGAAGGCTGAGGGGTGTCTGAGGTGAATTAGCAGTGCAGTAATGGGGGTGGCTTGAGTGGGACTGGAGGTGTCGCAGACTGCAGGGTCCATGACGGAGGAGGGAAGGGGAGAGCTGAGTCTGTGGCTATGATGGTGGGTTGGAGTGTGAGAGCTGTGGGGAGAGGGAGAGGGTACAAGAGAAACTGAGTTTCTGGAGTAGAATTTTTATCGAAAAGAGGCACTGGACAGGTTGGGATAATAAGACAGCTGTGTGTAAGCACAGGGTTTGGAATCTGCAGGGAGGAGGCTTTGTCTGCAGAGGTCATGTGTCTTGGCTGTCAACTCCAACAATGGAGACTGCAGAGCAGGAACATCGGCCTTAAAACTCAGGAAGAGCATTATGGGTGGCTTCCATGTCATCAAGGAAAGAGAAGGTTTTACCCGAGATGTCCAGCGAGACCCAGGGCCCAGAGAGGGACACCTGGGTGAGGCCATGGCCTCAGCCCCATCGATCCTCCTCAGTGCTGATCCCAAGCAGATCAGCAGGTGATGAGTCCAGGCGGCAGTGTCCATCCTGTGAGGCCGGGGAAGGTGATGCCTGACCTGCTCTCTGGGGGACAGGGCAGTCGCACTTCCGGTGGCCTCCTGGTTGTAGATGGGACTGGTTCCCAGTCGTGGCTGCAGGTCAGGGAAGGTTCGTGTCCAGTGTGGTTTGTTTGCGCACTTGAAGCATGATGGTGGGGCATTCGGGGTTTTAGATATTTTTCCTCCAGTCTGTGTTTTATCTCGAGCTCTAGGAGCCGCTCACTGCAGCTGTAGCTGTTGTGGCCGTAAATTGGCCTTAGAGTTTCAGCCTGGAATGTAACCTTTTGAAGGTCATCCTATTTTTGTTGTTTTTTCTATAGGTGAAGACCTGGAAAGCCACATGTAAGAGGTCTCCCTGGGGGGATTGAGGACCTAGGTCTGACATTTTGAATTTAGTCTGACAGTTTGGTGCTGCTTGGGAAATAAAATGGGAGTTCAAGAGGACCTCGGGATCAAGCATGATGGGCAGGGGGAGAGAGGAGGAGGGGGCAGTGTTGGGTAAACAGCGGGGAGCTCACAGTGGTGTAGTCTGAGAGTGACTCTGAGATGAGGAGGAGGAAGAAGGTGGGGGCGGGAGGGAGAGAAGAGGGGCCTCCGGGTGAGCTATGGCTGTGGGCTGGAGGTCTTTCATCTATCGGGTCTGAGAAACAAGAGAGGAGAGAGTCCCAGTGGTGAGCTGGTAATGGAGGGGACCTGTGAGGGGAGTTAAAAGGATCTGGGAGGCCTTGCAGGTCTGGATACGTCAGGGCGGCCCGCAGCTGGACATGAGGTATTTACCCCACCTGCCATTTCCGTAGTAAAAGTTATGTAGATCTCTTAATGTGAGCCTCTTTGGCCTGAGTGTTTGTTTTAGCCCCAGCGGGTCTAAGCACAGCCCTGAGGAGTGCTTCTGTGGGCGATGACTGATTTCACCCATGTGCTCCAGTTAGGAAGGTGATCAGGGTGGAGGGCTGTGAGTCTGCAGAGGACCCTCACCCTGCAGCAAGGCACAGCCTGTAGTAGCCCCTTAAGGGAGTGGAGTAGAGTAGAGTAGTCCTGACAGTGAATTCTGAAGTCCTCACCAGGGAAGTCAGAGAGGAAGTCCCAAAGGACATAGAGTAAAATAGGAGGAGGAGAATCGCGAGGTGGCCACAATTTATGATTTACAGACCAGAACCCCAAAGTACAGTAGAGGGGAGACTCACCTTGGACCTGACCAGATGAAGACGTGTGTTGCATGTTGACTTAGAAATGGCAAGGCAGAGAAGTCCCCAGTCCCAGAAAGAGAGAGAGAAGAGGAGGAGCGGAGGGGAAAGGTCCATAGGGTGGGGGGCGGGGGGCTCAGACTGGGGGACAGACTCCCCAGCCTCCAACCACTGGAGTCACAGCACCAGCTGACTGAGTCATTTGTACTCAATCTTGAGCAGTGCAGACCATTACAGAGAGGAGGCAAGTAGGTAAGAAGAGAGTTCAATGGGGGAGACTGCAGGGGGTCACCCAAGAAGGCTGTGGGGCTCCCTGCAGACACAGGGCAGGCAGGCTCTGCCTGATACAGGCTCTGATGGGGAAGGGCTCTGGGGCTGGTGTGAGCTGGTTTATTCAGTGGGACTGCAGGGGGTTGGGTGAACCTTTACATTCCTGAGCTTTGGCAGACTCTTGGGAGAGAGAGGCCACAGGGGCCTCTGGGAGGAAGGAGGTGTGCATTATCAGGGCACAGCTTTGAACCGTTGCCGTGATGATTGTGCTGTCTCTCAGACGGGGAATCTAACACAGATGAACCAAAGCATGATGTGTCACCAAACAGTCATAAAATATCAAAAATTCCTCTTACATGAGCTAGTTACTGTCTGTATTTCTGTGTCGCTCTTAATATTTTAGGTTTGTTAACCTGGTAGCCATGAGGAGACCGTAACTCTACACTTCACTACAGAGCTAATATTTATTGAAGACCACACTCAGGACAGTAAGTCCTATAGACATTTTTCTAAAATTATCAGCAAAGGTCTGAAGTCTTAGACCTCTATCTTAGAACCTGCTGTGGACTGAACATGGGATTTGAACATCTTCCTAATGGTCCAGGTGTTAAAGTTCTGCCCCCACTGGGGGCACTGAGAGGGTGGAAATTCGCTGTGATGGTGGAGGTTAGAGGGGAGACTTCCGGAGGCTCGTAAGGTAAGATAAGGTCATGAGGATGGAGCCACTGTGACTGAAGACTGGCGGCTGCATAAGGACAGACAGGCAGACCCCAGAACACACATATCCGAGGGTGGAGTCCATCGCCCACGTAGTGATGCTCTGTACACTGAGGACTCCCAGCAGGAGGGACAGCTCCAGGTGTGGATCCTTGGATCTGCACTGAGCCTCCAGAACTGTAAGACAAGAGGACCTGTCTGCTTTATTAAACTGATAAGAACAGATACTAGGCTTGATCTTAGCCAAAAGGCCGAGAAGCGATGACCTGTCTGCTTTATTAAGTCTCCTTGCCTCACGTATTTTGGGACAGTAACAGGAATCAGTTACAGACAGATACAGAACTCTTCTCCACCTCCCATTCGGACCCCTAATTTCTCCACAACTCAGAGACACCTCTCTGTCACTCTTCATTTGCAGTGTTCTCATCGTCTCATCCTACATTAGCATATCCATTCAGTTTTACAAGTGTGGGTTAAAGAATGGTTCTCTCAGCATGACCAGAAGTGAAAATCCACACAGAAAAGTAAAATTCACCTAGATAAAAAATAATCTTCAAAATGCATGACTGTGATCAGCCTCAAAATCTTATGGAAGATACCAAAGACACTGTGGTATGTGTATCAGTGCTGGTCAGCCGAGGCCAAGAGACACAGGACAGTTGAGCCACTTGTGGTCATTTCCCAGTTCAGCAGGACAGAATGCAGGAGGCCTTGGAAAGTCACGGGCCCTCTTAGTTCAAAGGGACTGGAAAGAAACAGTTCAGGGCTGGAGCTTTAGGGTGGTGAGATTAGGACGGACTAAGGGACTCGGTGCTTGCTGTAGACGCAGGGAATTGTCGAGACCCTGACATGGTGCCGAGACGGAGCCTCTCAGTGACTGGGCCCGTGAGGGGTGCAGCTCAGACCCCTGACACAGCTGTCACTGAAAAGGAGCAGCCACCACCCGTGTCAGCCTGTGAGGCCCGGTGTTGGGTACTGTTTCAGTACGAAGACCTCAGATGGAAAATAATGAATATTAGGAAGAACCTGGAAAAGAAGACAGGAGTGCAAGGTATCAGTATGAAAAGTGGACACAGATTAGACTGTGGGATTGGAAATGGAATCAAAGCTTGCAGTGCATCGAGCCGGTAAAGATGAAGTGAAGCTGGGTGTCCGGGCCTGAGCGTAGGGAAAAAAACTGCCACAGCGTCAGGGAAATAAAGACGGGAGGAACTTTTGCCAAATATCACAGCCGTCTGAACGTGTCCACATTTCAGAGGACTCACTTCTCCTGGAGGAACTCGTCCTGAGAAGAGCATCACACGTGATCGCACAGGTAGGTGTTCGAACATATTTCCTGAAATGCGGTTTCCAAAACCAACCAATGAAACAATCTGAAGTCCTCGCCCCTGGCACCTGTGTGCACTGGGAGCGTGGAACACAAGCCTGGGGGCAGCCTGTGGAGCCCCAGTGTGGGGTGCACTGTGCAGACGGGGAAGGCCTAATCGGGTTAAAGGGTGGAGCAGCAGGGACCAGGGAGTTGCCTTCGGGGTGTGGTGACGTCTTCCTCTGAGGTTCCGGTGTGACTCAGCATCCCATGTGTGACCTTTCCACATCCTGGGACTTTCTGTATGAGGAGGTGGCCAGAATTGGTGCTGAGGAGTCCTTGTCGGTCAGCGTGACTTCCCTGTGCTCATCACACTGAAGGCCGGTGCCTGCCATGGTCCAGGCCTCTGCTGCCCAGAGGTCATATAGACACCAGGTAAAACAAAGACCCAAAGCAGGATCCTAGCGGGGGGCCACCTGCATTGTCTTTCTTTCCACCTTTACAAATGTTTATTTTAATAAATTATCATAAGACAAGCACCTTCATAACCACATCCTGATCAGCAGAGCTTTTCTGCCCACCCTCCAAGCCCCTGTGTGCCCTGTGCTGATCAAGGGTCTCTTTCTACCTGATCTTCTAATAATCATGTGTATGGGGTTCTTCATGGCTTTATTTTCCAAATGTCTGCCTCTATGCACTGTAATCAGGTTCTGCCCATTTTAAACTGTGTGTGTCCCCAGCACTGGAGGGAAGGATGTAAGGGAATGATTACTTTATAGTGACAGGTGCAGGTGACTCCTATCACAGTGTGGAGAGGGGCCACCCCCGAGAGGGAGCCAGAGGGCGCTGCTGGGTGCATCTCCTGATGCTGTGGACTGGGACAGTTTTTCTTAATTATTTATTGGTACAGTGTAAATATTCCTAATGTCACCTTTAACATAAGGAATTTGTACACGCGTGTGAAACATGTTGATTGCTCTTTTTTGTCCCAGTTTTCTCCCTTCCATTCAGCTTCTTTTCCTTTCCTTATTTACAAAGCTTTGCTTGCATTTATCCTTTTTAATTTTTTTTTTTTTTTTTTGGCTGTTTGCTTCCTTCTTTTCTCTCGCCCCCCCCCCCTTTCTGGTTCCTGTTTCCTTTTCAATAATTTCTTCTTGGTTTACAATATCTGTTGCATATTTTGGTCCCGACTGACACTTTCAGAGTCTCACACCAGGGAGACAATGTGATATTTACACGTGTCCAATTTATGTCACTCAGGCATCTGACCCAAAGTGCATCCAGTTACCTAGAAATGTCCATAGTTTATCTTTCTTTGTGGCTTAGTGGTATTCCACTGCGTAAAAACACATCTTTTTATCTATTCATGTGTGTATAGGCATTTGGGCTCTTTTCAGGAGTCAGCAGTCACCACCTGCGCTGCTGTAAATCTGAGTGCACATACACTGCTGTGCTGTGGTATTTTAGTTCTTCTGGAAAGGTACCCAGAAAGGTTCCAGCAGGGCCCCTTCCCCGCAGGTCCTCCAGGGTTTGTTACTGGTTCATTTTTCGGTGACAGCCGCACTTTCTGGGGTGAGATGGATCCCATGCTTGTTTTAATTTGCATCTGTTGAATGACCAGTGATGTTGGACACTCTTTCCATGTATTTATTTACTATTTGTAGTTTTTCATTTGCAAAGTCTGTGTTCATCTCAGATGCCCATTTTTGGATGGGGTCTTTGATTTGGGGGAGTCAGGGTTTTTTTCAATTATTTATATGTTCTAGATATAAGTCCCTTGTCTGAGGTACAACTGGCTGTAATTTTCCAAATCTGTCAGTTGTCTGCTCACTTTGTTGGTGATCCTTTTGTCATGCGAAACCTTTTGAACACAGTGGGTTCCCATGTGTTGACTCTTTATATTACTTCTCATGCAGACTGGGTTTTGTTCATGAAGTCTCTGCCTACACCTGTGTCTTCAGGATTTCTGCTTGGTTTTTCTTCTAGTACATTTAGTGTTTCTGTTTTAATGTTTAGATCTTTGATCCACTTTAACTGTAGTACATGGTGATAGACAGGGGTTTTGTTGTAGTCTTTGGCATGTGGAAAGCCAGTTTTCCCATCACCCTTTATTAAAGAGACTTCCAATAAAGATGTTTGGCTCTTTTGTCGAAGACAGGTTGGATGAGTGTGTTTGGAGTTGTGCCTGCATTTTGTATTCTGTTCTATTTATCCTCAGATCAGGTGTGTGTGTGTGTGTGTGTGTGTGTGTGTGTGTGTGCCAGCCCCAGGCTGATTTCATTACAGCAGCCTCATAGTATAACTTCAAGGCCAGGATTGTGATGCCTCCTGCCTTGCCTTTGTTGCCCAGAATTGCTTTTGCCATTTTAGGTCCTTTCTGTTTCCAAATGAATTTTGGGAGTGTTTTCTCTTGTTTTGAGAGGTTTGCTAATAGTATTTTGATCTGGATTACATTAATCTGTTTAATAGTTTTGGGTGCAGGGTCATTTTCACTATGTTGGTAATACTAAACGATCAAACCAGAAAGATTCGGGAGGCTGAAGCAGGAGGATCATAATTAGTTTGAGAAGAGCCTGGACTACAAAGTGAGTTTAAGGCCGGCCTGAGCTACATAGGGAGACCCTGAATCAAAAGGACAAAAAAACAAAACAAAACAAAGGAAACAAAAAACAAATAAAATACCCTTCATAATAGCATCCAAAAAAAAAAAAATACTTGAGAGTCAACCTTAAAAAAGGAAGTGAAAGGTCTATATATTGAAAATGACGGTGCTGTGAAAGAAGAAGCCGGGAGGACATCAGAACACAGAAATGTATCCCCTGCTCATGGACAGGAAGGACCACATGGTAATTCTACTTGTAATTTTTAAAGAAAACTTTTCTTCAGCCTTCTTATATTTGTAAATTTTGGCTGTAAAACATCCTTTTTTTTTAAATTAACACTGGCATCTATGAACTATGAGTCTATTTTAATCTAGGTAACCTTCTTAGACTGTCACAGGGAGAGACTCTTCGGTTTGGACTCAGATGTCCTGCTCCAGGTCCCTGCCTGGCACGAAGGCCCTGCACAAGGCAAGCAGTTCTGAGAAGCCAGGACCAGAATCAACCCTAAGGCACACAGGAATGATGTGTAAACCCAGAGCTCCTCCCTCCACACACTGCTTCCCCACGAAATCTGCTCAGTGCTTGCTCTGAGAAAGAATGGTTTGTTTAAGTCTTCTGCCTACCTTTTGATCACAGGACCGACCGGCTTTTCAATGTAGCCTGGCTCCCGGGGGATCACAGAGAGTGGAGTCTCAGTGGGAGCTCCAGAGAGCAGGGCATCGCCCGACCACATTGTCGGGCACACAGACACCCCCAGGCGTCCCCCTAGACAGTGGCTTCCCAGGAGGTTGCCTCCAGTAATGGAGTCACAGAGGAAGGAACACAGAGTTCTGAGGGAGGAGGCCGTACCCCAGGATTCTCCACCCACGAATGTATTGCTCATGAGTGATATTTTTAAAAACTGCACTGTCTTCCTCAGAAGCTCCTCCAATGTGCGACTAGGGTTACAGTTTCTAAAGGCATTACTTAAGGGTGCTTCAGGTAAACGAAACTCAGGGGAAAGCTCTGAGTGTAACCTTTCTGGAAAGCGTTCAATTTAAATGTAGCTAATGCTGGGAGGAAATAAGGAAACTAGTCTATTTCAAGGCAGAAATATTAAGCAAGACAATAAAAGGTATTTTATGTTATTTAAGAGATTATACCACTAAATACAATTCTTCTCAAAGTCATACAAAAAAACCCCATCAACATATAATAAGAAGCTGGGCGTGGTGGCTCATGCCTGTAATCCCACAAGCTGGGAGGCTGAGGCAGGAAGACTGTTGTGA